CAGGCAACGTTTTGTTCTGCTATACATAAGGTTGCCATGAGTTGATGTTGACTCAATGGCCACTAACCACAACCCCTAGCAGAACTGATGATATCTGTGACTCCCAGGCATTGGGTGGGAGATATGACATAAAGTGTGTAGAGGAACCAGACTGGTCTTAAAATGTAATTGTGGAGTGATCGGTGCATAAGTGTCCACTGATGATTCTCTCCACTTTCATGTTTGGAAAAGTAACAGTAACAGTAACAGTAACAGTAACTCAAAAAGTAACAGTATTTTTTCTTTGAATGAAAAGTTTTATGATAAAAAAGTAACATTATTTCTTTGAACCAAAATGTGGCTTATTTCAATTAGTAATGTATGTCTTCTTTGAGTATTGTGCTCTTTGAAAGAATTATCTATGTGAGATCAGACTGACAATAGCAACTTGAAAGGTTGGCTGGGAAATATAGGGGCAGTGAGTTAAAGAAAACAGTGGTGGAATACTTCACTAAAAGTTTGTAAAAAAAATTTTTTTTTTAAGTTTATTGACATTAAACAAACATTAACTCTGAAGCCAGACTACCCTAGGAAGTTACCTAATGTGTTTGTGTGCCCCAGTTTTCTCACTTATAAAATGGGGTTAATTATACCTGCCTCATGGGGTTGTTTAAGGAGCTCTGGTAGCGTAGTAGTTAGGAATTGGGCTGCAAACCTCCAGGTCAGCAATTTGAAACTGCCGTTCTGTAGGAGAAAGATGAGGCTTTCTGCTCCCATAAAGATTTATAGCCTCAGAAATCCTGTACAGGGTCACTATGAGTTGGAACCGACTCCACGGCATATAACCACCACCACTGTGGGGTGATTGTGAAAATTAGTCAATCTACCAAAAGAATGGAAGGATGCCTAGCTTTCAGCAGCAGCATCATTTTATGGGGAGAAAAATGGTCACAGACCATATCACAGACAGATAACCTGTCCTGCCCCACCCTCTGATCCTGCCCCTACTCTTCCTCCTTCCTCACCATTTGTATATATGCATGAAGGGGGAGAGTTGGTGAGGGAGCCCTTGAAAGATGAAAAGAAGGGGTTGTTCTTTAGTGACTTCAGGGAATAAGGAAAGACGTAGGTGTCAGGGGATGAAGGTGGCAGATATACTTATTTAGCATGGGCTCTGGGAATGGTCCCTGGATTAATACTCACAGGGCACTGTGAGTAGTCAGCCAATACCTAATGTTTACCAAGACTAAGGATAGGACCCAGCTATGAACTGGGCCTGTGTCAACCCTGGCATACCTTTGTGTCTAGATGTACCTCCTTAGAGACCCTTTCAAGGTCTCTCAATAACCTTATGCTGTCCCACTTAGCTTCAATTTGACAAGACAAATAAGGGAACGTTTGGAGCAACATTGGCCCACCTCCTTAATCACCACCTCTTAAATCAATTTAAGACCTACTGAAGTATCTGCAATATCATTTATTTAACAAATACCAAGTACTTCTTAAGTCCCAGGCACTGTGCTGAGCCCTGAGAGTATCAAAGAGAAAAAGGCAGACACAGTCTTTGCTTCCAAGGTTGAGAACAGGAGACAGACGGCAATAATATGATCACCCCAAATCAGTATCACTGACAGGTGTTTTGCAGTAGGGAAACACAATCAAGGAAACCAACATAGGGATGAGAAGCTTCCTTGAGGAAATGACATTTTCTGCAGACACGTGGGATGAAGAGTAATGGGGACAAGAGTGCTTTAACAACTGTGACACCAGGACTCCACAAGTGGGCCACTGGCAGGTAAGAATACTGTGGGTTCAAGGGGCTGAACAGCAGCCAGGGTCAGGGGAAAGATGGTTCCAGGCAGGAGGCCAGCAGGGGCTAAACCATGTAGATCTTTGAGAGCACAGTCAGAAGTGAGGTCTTTATCTCAGAATCAGAGAAAGTCACTGAAAGTGTTTAAGCAGGGGGTCACCTGATCAGATCTATACTGTTAGGGGCTCTGCATATGGAAGAAGGAAGGATTCGATGCGTGTCCAATTATAAGTGGGAGCTCTGTTGGGAGGTTTGCTCAGGGTGGTAGGAGACAGATGATGGGGCTTGATCTAGGGCTGCAACAGTAGAGATGGGCAGATTTGAGAGCTATTTAAGAGGTGAAATCACTGGGAGGAGAGAGCAGGATGTATACAGATTACTCCCAGGTTTCTGACTCTGGCAGTTGCACGGCTGGTTCAGCAGTTAGTTTGCTGGGCCAGGGAGCCTGTGGGAGGAGCATGTCTGGGAGAAAAAGGAGATTTCCTTAACAAGGATGAATCATATGCAGCGCCCTTTATGCAGGTCACTATACTGTAGAAGGGGAACTTCAAAAGCAAATATGATTATAACAAGATTTTACTCCTCTGTAAAGCAATGCCAAAAATAGGTACCAGCAATGGCTGCAGGAGAATAGCCTCAAATGTGCACTTTTTGTTTCAGAGAAGATAATAGCCAAGGTCTCAATAATTAAAGCTACTAGGAGGTATTCTGTGATGTGGATTGGGTGACTGAATGAAAACATGTCACGCACAGGTAGTAGGCACTGGAAGAGTACCTTACCCCTAACCCATATCACCAAATGCTATGTGCTTAACCCAGTGCTCAGGGTAAGACGCAGACAAGAGAATACCAAGTCTACTCCTTTCTCTCAAAAGGTGTACAATGGAGTTAAAGGAGACCCCATAGCAAACAATTAGAGGACCATAAAGCAAACTGGTAAGTAAATCCTGGGCTATAAGGATTCTACTTGGGATAGGACCTGGGGGTTAATGTCAGGAGAAGAAAGTAGAACTTTCCAGAGGAAGTGGGCCTTACAGTAGAGCCTTGAAGGGTGAGGAGACTGTGTGGAGAAGGGTGGAAGGTCAGTTACTGAAGGTTCCCTCAAGTCCAGGCAGGCTGGCCCTAGGTCACAACCTATACTGAAGGGAAAATGCCAGTCTCGACTTAGATAAACTACAGGCTGACACGGTTTATTTTTTAAAGAAATTAAAGTCCTATTTTAAAACAACGAGGACATTTTTTAAGAAGGCTCAGGAGCGGAGCTCCTTATTATCAGTGAAGCGTGAAGCTCCGAGAGCCACCCTCTAATACACACACACACACACACACACACAGTCTCTCTCTCCTACCCCCACTCACCATCGCACCCACCTTTGCACAATTTCTTTTCTTGCGGCAAACTTACTTCTGTCGGCCTCCACTGTCACCCGCCCCCAGGCAAGCCCCCGGCTACTCAGACACCTCTCTTTCTTTGCCCTTTTTCTAATAAAGTCCATTTCCTCCGTGCTGGTGACTGCGGGGCCCAGGTGACCAGCCCCGGGGTTGGAGCAGCACGTCCGAGCTGGGGAGCGCATCCCTGTCTCCCAGCGGAGCTAGCGCGACTTCGCAGCTCCCCGCCGGGGGTCCCGGAAGCACGATGCCCCAAGTGTCCGAGCGGACCCCCCCTGCCCCCCGAGAGCCGGACAGCGGCCCAGTAGATGACACAGCGTTTCCTTTGCACCGGTTTCTCCCGCAGGTGCCACAGGGCCAATTTGCTGCGTCAGCGGGTCGTTGGCCCGAGGGCGCCGGTACCCTGGGCACGTGGCCCAGACCCGTGGCCCTTGGTGCACCCGACCTGGATCTGGAGCTAGGAGCGTGACCGCCGGGCGCAGGCGCTGCCCAGCGACTCAGCCAGTAGCTAGAGAGGAATACCAGTCCCTACAGAGGGGAAAAGTTGCACGGCGTCTCCGCCACACCAACTTCCCGTCCGGAGCGGGACTCGAACTTTCCTTTCGCAGAGTGAACGCACAGCCCCCAACTACCCAGCCGCAGCTGCTCCGACCCGGGCGCCCGGGATTCCGGCCCGGCGGACGGCGGCCAATCACAGGGCGCCGCGGGCGGTGAAGGCTGGAGGCTGCGGGCAGCCGGGGAGTGACGGCGCCAGGCACCAATAGGAAGCCAAGGTGGGTGTCCTCTTCACACCACTGACCAATAAGGAAGGGGTGGCTGTGGCTGCGGTCCCCAAGGCAGTAGCTGCAGGCTCTGGTGGCCGCGGGTCAGAGACCCCAAGGCTAAAAGGGACTTTGATGGGAGTTTGTTCGCCCTCGCTGTGCCATCCACCGACCTTCATCCCATAGCTTGGTTCTCACCTGCTGGAAGCGGGGCTTGCCCAGCTGGAAAGGAGGTGCATCGGTCGAGGCGTTCGCGGCACTTGCCGCCGCCGCCGCGGGTGTTGTAGTCGCTGTATCCGCCATGGCCAATGACGCCCGCAATCTCCGGCCCTTTTAAAATGTCCCTCCTCGGCCCCCGCCACAGCTGCCGCTGCCGATTGGCCATAAGCAACCGCAGCGAGCAGGGGGCGCAAGGGGTTGTGGGGAGTGTGGTTTTTCTCTCACGGATCTTGACAAGCGCGAGCCACGGAGATCTGCACGGCGGAATCCGGGCTTCTGCCGCCAGTTTTGCTGGGGCAGTCCGGGAAGGACTCTAAGTGCAAGTACGACTCTAAGGTCTCGACCCCTCACTGCTCACCTCCTCCTAGAAGCTGGAGTTCTTGCGTAGACTTAGTCCCTGAAGCTTCAGCCCAGGAGGAGGGCCCGATCCAAGCGGGCCCGACAGGGTGCCAGACTGACAAGGATTCCAGGCTGAGTAGGGTTAATTTGAGTAGGCTTTCTGCAAAGAGTTGCACTGCGGTGGCTTCCTGCAGTTTCTTCTGCCACCTCCCTGCCGCTCACTTCCTGGAGTATGCCTGCCTGGTGCTCACCACCCCCAGCCTTTGAACGTTCTGTACCATTTGCCCAGAAGACTTTTAACTTTGTATCTTACCCCAACGCTTGCTGTCTTCAGCCTAAACATTGCATTTCCTAGAGTCACTTCCCTGCTTCCACAAAGTTCGTTATAAGATTCCGATAGCACCTAGTACTTTGGCAGCCCTTGCATTTGTAATTATGGTTTTGCACATACCTTTCCTACTGTAAGATCCAGAAAGGCAGGGGCAATGACTTTTTGATTCACCGGTAAATCCTCAGGGCCAGGTGTATGAAAAAGTGCTCACAGAAAGGACTCAAAAGTATTCATTGGCATTCTTGAGTTAAACGAGGGAGGGTATAGGATGGGTGAAGAGGTGCCATCTCCTTTGACCAACCAAGACAGATTGCCCCCCAGCCTGATTCCTGGGCAGGAAGAGAACTCTGGGGTCGGGGGAGAGGAGGTCGAGCTCAGTAATGTTCATCAACACTTCGTGTATATATAAGGACTTTGGTGAGTTCTGCAGACTGTAGAGCAAAGTACAGGGCCAGTCATGAACATTTGTGCAGTATGGAGTAGTAAATTCCCAGATTAATTATCTGGTCGATGAGCCAGATTCAGATTTGGGGAAGGATAGTAAAATGATCTGGTCTCACCCCCTTAGTGAGCTTCACTTTGCTGCTGCTGCCTTATAGTCTGTTGTTGTTAAGTCCCATAGAGTCAATTCCCACTCATATCAACCCTGTAGAGGGTTACCGAGGAGTGACTGGTTGAGTTTGAACTCCCAATTTTGCAGTTCAAACTGACTGACCTTGGGGTCTAGTACATTATCCCACAGCACCACACCGACTCTGGTCTAGTGGGTTCCAACTCATAGAGAGGCGCTGTATAGATAGGGCTCCCGAGGCTGTAAATCTTTACAGGAGCAGAAAGCCTAATTTTTCTCCTACATAGTGACCAGTGGATTTGAACTGAGTCCCACTTTGGGTCACTTTAATCTCACAGTGCACTATAGGGTGGTTCTTGTGGTCTTTCTGGAGATCACAGGATCTGAAATAGAGTTCCTCACCACTAATAGCTGGACCACAAAAACAGACTTTTCCTAGGCTGGAGAGAAATTCATGGGAGCACCATGAAGAACAACTTGTATCTTGGTTTTTGTCTCTTCCCTTCTAGACTTAAGATGGTGGTGCTGTAGGATAAACACTTGGCTGTTCCCACAAGGCCCGTGGTTCAAACCCACCAGCTGTTCCTCAGAAACCCTATACAGGGTTGCTATTGAGTTGGAACTGATTCAATGGTGCTTCACAATGACTAGAATTAAGTAGTTCTGAGAATACGAATCAAGCTTTTTATCCACTGTATTCATCCCCAGTGTCCAATTGTTGTTGTTGTTAAGTGCCGTCGAGTCGGTTCCAAC